GCTGTCCGTATATGTGTGGTTTTATTTCTGGGCTTTCAATTCTGTTCCATTGATCTGTGTGTCTGTTTTTGTACCAGTACCATGCTGTTTTGATTACTATTGCTTTGTAGTATGTTTTGAAGGTCCTGAGAACTTTTAAGATCTACTCTCTTAGCAACTTTCAAATATTCAATACAGTATCGTTACTATAGTTGCCATGTTGTACGTTACAGCCCCAGGACTTACTTATTTTGTAACTGGAAGTTTATACCTTTTAACTCGCTTCACTCATTTCACCCACCCTCCACCCCCCGCCTCTGGCAACCACTAATCTGTTCTCTGTGTCTGTGAGCTTGGTGGGACGGTCTACTTTCAGTTTCTCCCCATTGGCAGCACAAGGCTCTGGGCACAGGTACCACTTTAAGAACCAACCAGGGCACTGCTAACAGTTCTGTTTCCTTGTAGAGAAGGGCTGCCCCGCCCAGCGCCCCTACTGGCTCCGCCCAACCTCCCCTTTGGGTACCCGGTCCACGGAGTGGAGGTGATGCCCCTGCACACAGTTCCCATCCCAGGTAGGTACATCCCCATCCTGAGAGGACCTGGGCAACTTTCTTATTTCTTCTTAAGCAAAAGGAGGGAGTGGAAGGGAACAATCATTGAGTGAGTACCTGCCATGTATCCAGCACAATGCAAGAAGCTTGCCGTGGGTTCATTTAACGTTAGTCTCACTGTTTCCACCACGGGGAATGCCCTTAGCTGTGACTTCCCTGGGGCTCCGAGATAACACAAAACAGGACAGAAATTTGTGTGCCTCAAGGAATCTAAGGACATGATTGGCTTTTTGGTGTTCTCCAGCAAATTCGAGCAGGCGAAGCATGAGCCCATCTCCAACGAGCACATATTGAAAAGAACATTTATGTCAGTTAAAACTCTCCTCCTCGAGGGATTTTTACACACTCCTCTAGTTTAGCATCACATCGCTGTGAGGTAAATATTGTTTTGCCAATTTCACAGATGAGTTTGGTAAGTTATCTAAGGCCACATAGGGAGGATATGTTTGAATTGGAACTTGAATTAATCATATTATAAAAAGAGAGAAGGATTCTAAAGTAAATACATTTGGGATGAATTGCCAGTGCTTTTGAATAGTCATTTTAAAAATGATTTGCCATTCTGAATGATCCATTTTTTTATTATGGTAAAATATACATAACATAAAATTTACCCATTTTAAACATTTTTTAAGTGTACAGTTCTGTGGCATTAAGTATATTCACATTGTTCTGCAACCGTCACCGCCATCCATCTCTAGAACTTTTTCATCTTCTCAACTGAAACTCTGTACCCATTTAACATTAACTACCCTCTCCCTCCTGCCCCTGGCAACCACCATTCTACTTTCTGTCTGTATGAATTTCACTAGTCTAGGAACTTCATATAAGGAGGATTTATTGTTTATCCATTGCTTCCTTCCCTTCAGTAACAGAGATACCTGGAAGGGACGGGATTAATTCACAACACCCATCCAAAGCTGAGGGTGGGTATCAGAGGCTTTAGAACCACTGGAGTGTGAGAAGGACTGTGGGACACCATCTAACAAAACCCTAGGGAGAGGGCAGTGGTCAGAAAACACCCTGGAGAGGAGGTGACACTTGAAGGGACTCTGGAAGCATGTGTGTTGGTCAGCCAGGAAGGTGGGAGCATCAGGGAGCCCTTGGCATCCTCTCAGATGGTGTTTTTTGTCCCTTTTCCTGTGTCCTCCAGGTCTCCAGTTTGAAGGACCCGAAGCCCCCACCTACGAGGCAAGAGTCCCCTTCCCAGCCCCTTTTTGCACCTGACATCCTGTCTTCGGCTTACTGCCCATGCCTCCTTCCCCCACTGGTGGCTGGTCTCAGATTTTGACAGAGACGGCTCTCCAGATTAAACTTCAGACATGAGTCCAAGGTGGGAGGAGGAGAAGGGTGCCTACAGAAGGCATGATGTTTCCAGCCATGGGAGTGGCTGGAGTTCCAGGGAGGACTTCCAAAGAACTGGGCCACCACGGATGCTGCTGCTTGTGCCGCAAGAGGAAGCCACCGCCACAGCCGCAGACTCCTGTGGTGTGTTGCCTGTGTCAGGGTTGGCACCAGCAAGATGCATGCTCCGTGCCCTACCTTCCCCACTTAACAGAGCTCCAAATCGAGGTCTTACGCAAGTATATCTGATCGCTGGGATGTAAATCACATCCAGAATCCTAATGCAAATGGAGTCTGGGAAATGTAGTTTTAGTTTCCTCCCCTCTGCATACTAGACAGAGGTTGGAATGAGCAAGTCTGCAAAGCTACTCTATCCTCCAGAGGCCTCTCTGTCCCCTCCCTGGAGCTAAGACCCCTCCGCCCACCTCTGTCACTCCTCGTTACTCTGTGTTATTCTCTTCACAGCACTTTGTACCTGAATACCCCATATGCGTCATGAGACGCTTATCGCCTTTCATCCTCACTAGAATGGAAGCTTCTTGGAGACAGGGAGTCTGTCTTATTTACTACTCTATTCCCAGTGCCTGTAATTTGGATCTCAGAAAATATCTGTTGACTGACTAAAGTGAATTCAGCAGGAGTGACATAATCCAGTTTACTTTTCTAGTAATCCAGTAAAGATAACTGGCTGTTACAGAAGACAGGAAGGCAAGAGAGGAGAGTAGCGTTAGGGGGTAGCCACGAGGATGGGGAGAAGTGGACCAATTCTAGCTACATTTTGAAGGTAGAACTGACGGGAGTCGCTAATAGATGGACTGTACGCATGAGGGAAAGAGCAGAGCAGGCATGATCCATTTGGGGACTTGAACAGTTGAGTGGATGAGGGTGCCATTCACGAGGCAGGGAGAGCCAGAGAGAGGGTGAAAAACAGGTTTATAGAGAAAAATCAATAGTTCAGTTTTGAAGAGATCAATTTGGGTTGCCTGTGAAACTTCCTGGCAGAACTCCGATCTCAGAAAGACATGAGAGGGGCCGTCCCCGTGGCGTAGCGGTTAAGTGCGCGCGCTGCGCTGCTGGCGGCCCGGGCTCGGATCCCCGGCCCCGGCTCATGACCGAGGCACCGCTTGTCAGGCCAGGCCAGTGGTGGCCGCTCATATAAAGTGGAGGAAGATAGACACAGATGTTAGCCCAGGGCCAGTCTTCCTCAGCAGAAAGAGCAGGATTGGCATGGATGTTAGCTCAGGGCTGATCTTCCTCACAAAAAAAAAAAAAGAAAGAAAGAAAGAGATGAGACAAATATTTTTAAGCCATCAGCATATGAATGGTTTTTAAAGCCGCCTCCTCTAGCGAGGGGTAAAGTAAGACGGAAAAGGATGCAGAACCGACCCTGAAAAACTCCACTTGGTGGTCAGATAGAGGAGGAGGAGTTGGCTAACGGAAGTCGAAAGGAGCAGCCAGCAGGAAATCTAGAGGGAAGGTATCCTGCAAGCCGAGAGCTAAGAATGTTTCGAGAATTGGCCGTTGAACACACCAGGCCCAGGGCTTGCTTCTCCTTGCCTGGGGCGAGAGCAGCAACTTGCTTGGAGCCAGACCCTAGCTTTCAGGGGTACTCTCATGACGCTCCTCCTCTCACTCTATGTGCTCTGCCCCCTGCTGGCCATCTTGGGTATGTGCCTTTCCTTGCATTTAGTGTCTTTCTACCTCACCCACCCTAGGTCACCCTGACAGCTTCTCTGGGGACACTGAACACCCTCGCTGACGTGTCAGACAGTGTGGTGCAGGGCAGAGGTCAGAAGCAGCTGACCGTTTCGACCAGTGACCGGAAGCTTTTGAATTTCATCCTCCAGCATGTGACATACACCAGCACGGTGTACCAGAACCACGGGGTGGATGTGGGTGAGAGCCTGTCCCTGGATGGCAAAATGCTTAGGGAGCCGGAAAACACCACCGGGCCCTCTCAAAATCTTCCTCCTCCAGGAAGCCTGCCTGCATTTAAGATTCCGCTCTTGCTCCTGTTTCTAAGCCTACACACCTGACTTCCCAATTACTGTACCCAATACTATCCCCACGTTGCCGTTGACCCCATAGTGTGACGCAAAGGAAAGAACAGAGGAGATGCCTGCTTGTCTCTCTATGAGGACAGATCATTCATGCTGCGTACCTGGAAACCATGCAATTCTGTTCCTCCTTCTCTGCTGCTCTCAAAGCTGAAGCCTTCAGCTGCCGTAGAGCAGGGAGCCAGTCTATGCATTTGTATCTTGTCCTGGGCACTAACAGGAAAGAAGGATGTGGGGGAAATCCCAGTCCCAAGAGCAGTGGCTCTGTCTTCCTCCTCCCATCCTAATCCCTACCCCACCCCAGGAATTCCGGGGAGAACAACTCCTGCCGCCCTACGGGAAGCCCCAGTTTCTTTCTGGATGAATTTAAAAGTCACCCTTTTCTCTTCCAATTAGCTCCACAGGATGCTTTCCCAGGGCACCAACAGAAAAAATGAAACATGGGACAGATTACCCATGACCACAAACCAAAGAGTGTTCTCTTCACTTTCAGATTTTCCAACATTTCCTTTCACAAAATGACCCTGTGAGGTACAATGGGGCAGGTATTATTATCCCAGTTTTCTAGCCGGAGAAGGAGATTAGGTGATTTACCCAAGGTATTTCAGATAATAAATGCAAAGTCAAACTTAATCTAGAGCCCCTGTTTATAAGCCCACACCACCCCACAGATTCTTACAGGGGAGGAAATGTGAGTTTAGGAGGCATTCAGCAGGTTACCCTAGTGGCAAACAGCAAGTCAGGAGTCAGAATGCCATAGACTCTATGGGGTCCTCAATCTCATCCCAGCCAGGACATTCTCCACCAAATCTTCACTCCCCCATCGTGTCGGCTTCCCTGGGGTAGCGTGGAGAGTGATCCAGATGCGCTGCTGCCCACTCTGACCTTGTTTCTCCCTCCAGTGAGTCTGGAATCCGAGTCCTCAGTGGCCAAGTTTCCAGTGACCATCCGCCACCCTGTCATACCCAAGTTATATGACCCTGGACCAGGTAAGGCCCTTGTCCTGGGGCTCCGTGGTGGGATCCTGTAGAGCTATTGGTGAAGTTCAGGAGTGATCCCTTCTGAGATGGAGGAGGAGAATTGATGAAAATAACAACCTTGATGTCATTCCTGACAACAAGCTTTGTTTGGAGGAAAAAAATTCTAGGACACACTCTCCTAATATTGCTTAATTATATTTAACTTATATGGTTATGCTTATTTTGAAAAAAAAAACTAATGAACTATAACATTTTAATAAGTAATAGTAGTACAAAACGGAGTGGATAGATATATCAATGGAATCAAATTGGAAATCCAGAAATAGATGTGTTGGAATTTTACCATGTGATAAAGGTAGCTTTTCAAATTAAAGGGAGAATAGATGGATTATTCAAGAAATCTTGTGGGATAACTGTGTAGCTATGTGTAAGATAAAAAGTTGAATCTATCTCACAGCCAATACCAAGATAAATTCCAAATAGGTCAGATATCTAACTTTTTTTAAGTACTAGGGGGAAAAAATGGAGTTTTAAAAATAACCTTAGTGTACAAGATCTTTCTACATAGGACACAAAACCCAGAGGCCATAAAGAAAAGACTAAAAACAGAAAATACATAAAATTTTGAAAGATTTTTATGGCAGAAACCCACCATAAGCAAAGTCAGAAGGCAAAGGACGAATTGGCAAAAAATATCTTCAACACGCTAAAGCGAAAGGTCTAATTTTACTTGAGTGCACCTATGAATCAATAGAAAAAAACACATAATAAGCCAATGGAAAAATGCACAATTCACAAAAATTTAAATTCTACAATACTTTTAACCATTAAAATATATGCTCAATCTCACACTAAGAAAAGTAAAAATGAAAACTACATTCATATCAAAAAAGTATTAGATGAGGAGAGGGGAAACAGACATTCTTAGAAACTGCTGCTGGGAATGTAAGTTGGCACAACCTTGCTGGAGGCAAGTTGGCGATATCTATCAACATTTTAAATGTGTATACCCTTTAGGCCAGCAATTCCACTTCTAGAAATTATCCTCCAGATACTTACATCTGTGTGAAATGACGTTTGTTCGAGGTTATTGATTGCAGCATTGTTTGCAATGGCAAAAACCTTAAAAGCGGGATGCACTGGTTAGATCAAGTGCGGTCCATCCATATAATGAAATTCCTTGCAGTGGCATTCAGGAAGGAGGAGGAAAACAGGAGGAGGAAGGTTTTTGTACTGATGAAAATGCTTTCCAAGATGTAAGCAAGGTACAGAAGAGAGTGAAGAGTAAGCTACCATTTCTGTAAAAAGAAAGAGAGAGAAAAAAGAATGTATGTACGTAATTGCTTGATCATGGAAAAATAAACAAGAAATTGGTAATATTGGTTACCTCCTGGGAGGAAACCAAGTAATTGGAGGACAGGGATGGGAAGAAGTATTTTCATGGTATAACTTTTGGTATATTTAGAATTTTGAACTGCTTGGCATTTTTTGAATGTATTACCTATATCTTCAAAATATAATCTATCCAAATAGATTCTATTCAAAATATAACAAATTATTATTTAAAAGTAATAGCATTCAATATCTATGAAGAAGGATTTAAAATATTTGTTTAACATCATAACTATCTCAAAAATAAAAGAAATACATACAAGAAATTCACAAAAAAAGTTTTATTTTTATTTTTAGCTTTAGATTTGTTTTAAAGATAAAGTATTACAGACACAATGGAAATCTCCACAATCTTATCCCCCTCCCTTCTTCCAGCAACCATGATCTTTCTTTTCCTGTTTCTGTACATTTAATATGCAGATTTCTATTCCACACACACACACACACACACACACACAGCATACAGTGTGGTTTTATGCATTTTTGAACTTTTCATGAAAGCTGTCACTCTCTGTGGTATGAAGTTCTAGATTCTGACCTTTTGTCGGTGTGCAGCTTGTCTTTTGATTTTGTTTCTGGGGTCTTATGCTATATGAAAGTTTTATCCTTTAATATAGTAAAATTGATTCACTGTCTTCTTTCTAGCTTTTGCTTTTTGTGCCTTGCTCAAGAAATTCTTCCCTACATTGAGGCTGTAAAGATATTCTCCTGCATTTTTTCCCAAAGTTGCACGTGTTTGCTTTTCACATTTAGATATTTAATCCACCTAGAAGTTATTGTTATGTGTGGCAGATAATGGAGATCTAATTTTCTGTATCCGAATAGCATATTGTCCCAATACCTTATGTGGAATAGCCCATCCTCCTCCTCCCTGGCTGGTATTGCCACCTCTGTCACACACCCAATATATGCAGGGGTCTGAATCTGGGCTTCGTGAGGTTGCATTGACCTGTTTATCCCCGGGCTCATTCCATAACGTTTCAATATGCTTTATAATAGCTTTTATATCTATGGGGATAAATTCTGTACTTCAGGATGACTGTGCTTCATTTGCAAAATTTTCTTATCTCTTCTTGGTCTTTTCCTTTTTCCATTAGAATTTTAGGATATGCTCATCAAGATCTCCTAAAATCCCTTGAGATTTTGATTAGAATTTCATAGCGGGGCCTGCCCGGTGGCGCAAGCGGTTAGGTGCACGCGCTGTGCTGCGGTAGCCCGGGGTTCCTTGGTTCGGATCCCGGGCACTCACTGACACACCGCTTGTCAGGCCATGCTGTGGCAGCGTCCCATATAAAGTGGAGGAAGATGGGCACGGATATTAGCCCAGGGCCAGTCTTCCTCAGCAAAAAAGAGGAGGATTGGCATCGGAGGTTAGTTCAGGGCTAGTCTTCCTCACCAAAAAAAAAAAAAAAAAAAAAGAATTTCATAGAATTTATAGATTAATTAGAGATGAATTGACAACTTTATAAGGTTGAATATTCCCAACCATGAATCTGGTCTGCCTCTCCATATTGTATTCTCCATGTCACAGTCTCTTCATAGGTTATTCAATAATTTATTTTGTAAAGGAATTGTACCTATTTTATTGGATTTAGTCTTAGGTACCTTATATTTTTTATTATTATTATGAATTGGATCTTTCTCTTCTACATTTTAACTGGTTGTTGCTAGTATAAAGAACATTAGTGATTTTTTGAATGTTGAACTTATAAAGAGCATCCTTGTTGCACTCATATTAGTGATTTTTTTTTGACATAGATAGTCTGTTAGACAAATAATGATGATGCTTGTCTTTTCCTTTCCAATTCTCATAATTTCTTTCTTTTTCTTGTCTTACTGCATTTGGCTAAAATGTCCAGTACAGTGTTGAATAGTAGCAATGGTAGCAGGCAGTTTTGCTTGTTCCTGGCTTTAAGAAGAATATTCTAATGTTCCACCATTAATGTTTGCTGTGTAGGAGTGTGGTAGATGTATCAGGGTAAGAATGTTTCCTTCTTTCCTATTTTGATTTCTAAGAATTTTTCTATTGCTACTTTCTATTTTGTTACCAAGAGTTTTTTATTATGAATGAGTATTCTTTTATTATGAATGAGTATTGAATTTTATCAGGTAATTTGTCTACATCTATTGAAATACTTTTCTCCTTTAATTGGGTTCGTGTAGTGATTTACATTGATTGATTTTCTGCTGTTGAAATAGCCTTGCATTTCTGCAATAAGCCCATCTTGATTGCAATGCATCATTTAATTAAATGCTGAATTAAATTTTCTACTATTTTATTTAAAATTCTTGCATCTGTATTCAAAAGTGAGACTATCTTCTCCTATAATGTCTTTGCCCTGTTTTGTTATCAATATTCTACAAGTCTCATAAAATGAGTTGGGTAGCTTTCCTTTTTTTTCCCTATTATCTGAAATGAATTATAATAAAATAGGAGTTATATGTCCCTTAAAACTTATCTGGTCCCTGTGTCTTTTCTGTGTCTAAGTTGGGGGGGAAGTGGTTAGGGGTTAGGGGTGGGAATGTGAATGGGAAGGAATGAGAGAAAGGGGAGAAATTTTAAAATATTCTTTGTCTTTAATGGTTATTGATTTATATGTACATTGAGTCAATTTTTTAAATGTTTCTATAAAAGTACATTTGACATAAAATCGCTAATTTTTTTGTCATAAGGTTGTTCATAGCATTCTCTTGTGCTTTTTAAAATATTTTAATACATCTGAAGTCATGTCCCACTTTTGGTTCTTAACATTTATCTTTGATAATTTTATTTTATTTTTTTGAGGAAGATTGGCCCTGAGCTAACATCTGTTGCCAATCTTCCTCCTTTTTTCTGTTTTTCTCCCCAAAACCCCAGTTGATAGTTGTATGTCATAGTTGTACATCCTTCTAGTTGTTCTATGTGGGACGCTGCCTCAGCATGGCTTGATGAGCAGTGCGTAGGTCTGCACCCGGGATCCGAACTGGCAAACCCCTGGCCGCTGAAGTGGAGTGCGTGAACTTAACCACTGTGCGACCAGGCCGGCCCCTATCTTTGATTTTTGTGTGTGTGTGTGTGTGTGAGGAAGATTAGCTCTGAGCTAACATCCGATGCCAATCCTCCTCTTTTTTTTTTTTTTTTTGCTGAGGAAGATAGGCCCTGGGCTAACATCCGTGCCCATCTTCCTCTACTTTATATGGGACACTGCCACAGCATGGCTTGACAAGAGGTGCGTTGGTGTGCACCCGGGATCCGAACCTGCAAACCCTGGGCCGCCGAAGCAGAGCACACGCACTTAACCACTGCGCCACCGGACCAGCCCCAGATCTTTAATAATTTTAAGTTGTGTCCATATCCAAATATTCTCGTTTTATTTTTGCCTGTTTTTGTTTCATATTTTCTTTTTCATATGTGTGATTCTGTTTTTCTTATCACTTTAAAGATTTTAAACATTCTCGTTTTAAATTCTTTTCAGATTTCTCAATTCTTTTCAGTCTATCTGGAGCGGGTTCCTCTGCACCTGGTAGATGTGTTGGCTGCCATTCTTCACACTAATTTTCTTGGAGTGTTTTGGAATTTCTGTTGGTGAGCTCATCTTGAGTAGGAGTCTTTTGCCTGCTTGCTTGTTTCATTTTCTCCTCTCTCCCTCCTGACTCCTTCTCATCTCCCAGCTTTATAGTTGCGTCTACTCCCAGTATCCCCAGATTCCTAGTCCATCCTTTGATACTGGAGTCTTGGGGTTCCTGTCCCACAGTAATATTGGCATTATTGAAGACCCAGTTGCTGGGCCTGAGGGTGGCTTGGCACACGTCCTGGCTGTGAGGCGGTGTCATCTCTTTGCACCCAGAGGCGTGTGCAGGGATGACAGTGGTTTGGGGGTTCCTTGCCCAGCAGATGGTATGTGGTGTGGGATGGAAGGGGTGCAACCTAGCTGCAGTCCATGGCTTTTAGCAAAAAGCCTGTCTCTGAAGCCACACATCCCATGAGACACTTTTACTCCCTGTTTCCCCTAGGAATCAGCCTCCTGGCCTCTGCTGCTCTGACCCCAGCTCCTGCTCTGCTCGCTGCTTTTTATTTCTGTTCCTTGGAAGAAAGGTCGTCCATTTTTGAGCATGGCTATATTTTTGTATTTTTCTTTATCACTGCTGTGTGTTTGGGAAAAAAAGGGAATCTCAAAGCAGAAAGCTACACCACCAACTTGGCCGAGAGTCCCTTACCTTGACCATATCCTGTGGTAATTCACACCCCTGGTTTTCTCTTTGCTATAACAAAAGAACCAAACTTGTCACGTGGCCCAAGAAAAGAAAAAGGAGGAGAGGATTCAGTTGACATGCTCTTGAACACAATTTACTTGACTCTTTCCACTGATGTCTTTTCCCTCACTCCCTCAGACCCAGGTAGAGCTGGGTTAATGGTGCAATTTGTAGGAAAAAGAGGGTTCTGGAATGACTTCTGATCTGACATTCTGAGAAAGTCGCTCTGCAGGGCGTCGTGGAGCACTCACCTACAAACAGTAGGCAGGGTTGTGGCTTTCAGCATGCCCTAACCCCAGCTGACCCCACCCTGCCTAGACAGCCCACGGGCTCAGCCAGCTGGCGTGGCTCCACGTGCGGTGACTAAATCCCACACACACACCAGCAGCTCCTGTTGTTTCATCATGGGGTTTTTTCCACAGAAAAGCTGTCCCTTATCCAACCTTTTATATATATCACACGCCTTAAGATGGACAATCTGGTCCAGGCCTTCCAGTCTCCAAGTAGACCTACTTCCACTCATGTCTTCCTGAGGATAAAGACGAAGTAGGTTTCTCTCTCGGAGTGTAGCTGGTGACAGGGGCAAGTATCAAGTCCTTTAAATCTTTTCTCCTCTCTGGGCCTGGTGACCCTCCATACTGAACCCCTTGATGGACAAAGCTCTGTCCATCTCAACTCCTAGTGTTAACATGGAAGCAGGATGCGAGCAAAATGCTGACAGGCAAGTATAAGATGGAGCATTCAAACAGACGGTAGGAAATGGCATCGTGGAGCCAACAGAACCAGGAAAAGAAACTCTAGAATAGAAGACATAAAATTTCAACAAATTGGATGTATTTTAAATATATTTAGTTTCTAATCCAACTAGCAAACTCTTATGAAGCACCAACTGTGTACAAGAGACATGAGGCCCACAAGCACTGAGAGGTCTTGGCATAAAGAAACCACTAGAACAATACAAGTCAAGACAATGAGGATTCCTGGAAGACAGAGCTCTGACATCCACCCTTTCTTGCCCAGAGAGGAAGCTCAGAGACCTGGTGACCGTTGCCACCAAAACTTTCCTCCGTCCCCATAAGCTCATGACTATGCTCCGGAGCCTTCGTGAGTATTACCCAGACTTGACGGTGATTGTGGCTGATGACAGCAAGGAGCACCTGAAAATTAATGACAGCCACGTGGAGTATTATGCCATGCCCTTTGGGAAGGTACGTCCCTCCCAGATTGGGAGACAATGGGTCCCGGGAAAAGAGAGCCGCAGAGTTAGGTTCTACCCTGGATAGGGCTGCTCCAGGGACCTCCCAGGAAGCAGGATCCTGGAGTGGAAGCGATAGGATTCTCCTCTGGGTCCCCTTGCTGACTCCCAGTTCACAAAGAAATCCAGTCACTCTCCCTTTTCTGCATTAACGGGGTGGTTAATCTGCCTTTCCTCACACTTGATGTGCAAATTGAGGCCTTTCTAAGTGACTTGAAGTGTCTGACATCGTAAGGATTCCTGACATGCAGATCCAACAGCAGAGAAATCTCTCATCCCTGTGATTCCATCCAAGCTGGAGTGTCTCTCCCTCTGTCTATCTCTCCCCCGATATACCTTTCTTCAAAGACACACAAAAGGAAATGGATGTTATACATACCAGGGTGTCCCACGCTCTAACATCTCCCAGGAAACATAAGGGGAAAAGGAAGCAGAGCCACAGAGAGTCTGTCAGGGGAAAAAGGACTTTAATTGATCCATATTGGCCATGGGGCCAAAGAGGGGCTTGCTAGCCTTTCTTTGTCTCAATCTTTGATTCAGAAAGTCACTGTCCTTCTTCTGGTATCTCTGAGACATGGACTCCCTTTAACCTAGTGGTTCTCAAGCTCAGCTGTACATCAGACTCACTCCCACAGATTCTGACTTCGTTTGCCTGGGTGCAACCTGGCTATTGGGAATTTAGAAGGCTCCCCAAGTGATCACTCTAATATGTAGCCAACCTGATGTAACCTCATTCCGCTTACAGGGTTGGTTTGCTGGTAGGAACCTGGCCATATCTCAGGTCACCACCAAATACGTTCTCTGGGTGGACGATGACTTTTTCTTCAACAACAAGACCAAGATTGAGGTGCTGGTGGATGTCCTGGAGAAAACTGAACTGGATGTGGTAAGGGGTGGGGGGGGTTGCCAGATTTACCGAGGCTGCAATCTGTAGAGACAGCCAAGAGAGGGAAGGGGAGGGGAAGAGAAGAGAGGAAAGTATGTGAGGGAAGAGGAGAGGGCAGGCAGGGGAGGGAGAGGGGCTGAGACAGGAGATGAATAAGCCAGCACAGCTCTGGCATTGCAAGCATCACACAGGATCAGATGTGCATTTCTGCTGCTGCTTCCATGCTTACTTTTCTTGGAGCAAATTACACGCCCCCTCCAAATTCACCATTGTTCCATCTTGAAAATGGTGTGTTTATGCTTCACGTCTAACTTCCTCCCCAGACTGGTGTGAGATGAAAGAGAGCAGTGCTCTGGTTCTGTCCCACACCGTTAAAAAAAAATGTAAATGGCACAAAACTTTAAAAGCACACATGACCCTAATGACATTTAAAAAAATAATGATAGAAGCATCAAAAGTCAATTCACATATAGAAAAGAGAAGAAAAAGGTGATAGTTAATAATACTGTGTTGTATTCTTGAAAATTGCGAAGAGGATAGATCTTCAATCTTCTCACCACACACACGCAATAGTAACTATGCAGAGGTGATGGATATGTTAATTAGCTCGATTGTGGTGATCTTTTCACAATGTATACATATATCAAAACATCAAGCTGTACACCTTAAATATATATGATATTAATTTGTCAAAGATATCTCAATAAGACTGTTTAAAAAACAAAGAAAAGAGAAGAAAATGGATAAGAAGGTAAGTGACGTTGTGACCACAGTTAACTCCTACTCCAGGTGGGCAGTCTCCAAAGCATCCTGATTGACTAAGACACCTCTTGGCTTCTAAGATACTCTTTGGCTTCTCTTCTAGAGACCAAATCACAATAGCATAAATGAGATAGAAGGTATAGTTCTGCTCACGTAGAAATCCAAGCTGGCACATGACTCTGTTTCCAGGGTCACCTGGACCAGCTTCCTTCCCTTGTTGTCCTGCCATCCTTGTGGTCCTTGGCTGCATGGCCAGAAGAAAGGGAGAGAGGAAGTGGAGGACAACCAGCTTTTAAGAATGTGATCTAGAAGTTGCAGACATCTGTTCTAAATCGTATCCTCTCAGAACTTAGCCACATGGCCAAACCTTGCAAGGGAAGCGGGGAAATTTAGTCTTTAACTGGATAGTTGGCTATATCTTAATTTAGTCCACTTAAAAGTCAGAGGGTTCGTTTACTAAAAGGAAGAAGGAAAGAACAGGTGATGGGGGATAATTAGACTTTACTGTGCCACCCTAGAGGATTATGATGGTTCAGGAGGAGATGTACTTACTCGTCCTGTTTTGCTCAGGCTCAATCACGTAAGTGAACATTTCCCGTGAGTGCATGGACAGGCAGCTCAGAGAGGTGAGCCGGGAGCAGAGAACGGGAGGAAGACAGCTTGAGACAAATGGCTCACTGCAAGAAGCCCAGCAGTGGAGACACCACACACAGACCACTGCACGCACAGGCTGCTGCTTGTCTGCACCCACATTCTGCTCCTCCTAATGGAAAGGAGTGAGTTCCCCTCTGGAAAGAGTAGGGTAAGCAGAGCAGAGAAGTTGTCTTCCCTTTGGACTTGGTCTAAGTGCTTGCTGCTCCCACCGAGAAGATTTTCTGGGGTAAGCAGGAAAGAAAAGATCCAAAGGACCCAGCAGTAGTTTGCTGAAGGCTGTGGCCACAACAGCAAAAAAGGGAGTAACTAAGGGATACTCTGAAGAGTACATAGAGAAAGGGTGTCATTCTCGTTATAACTGAGGTTCACTCCAGTAAGCCTTCCTGGCAGAGGCAACATGGATACAGAATCTGTGTTCTCTAACACATTTCTTTGCCCACCGGCTAGGTAGGTGGCAGTGTGCTTGGAAACGTTTTCCAATTTAAGCTGTTGCTGGAGCAGAGCAAGAATGGGGACTGTCTTCACCGGAAGCCGGGCTTTTTCCAGCCCGTGGATGGCTTCCCCAGCTGCGTGGTGACCAGTGGCGTTGTCAACTTCTTCCTGGCCCACACAGAGCGACTCCAAAGAGTGGGCTTTGACCCCCGCCTGCAGCGAGTGGCTCACTCAGGTGGGAAGGGGAGCTGGGCTGTGAACTGGCCTAGGAAGCTCGTTCTTTCCAAGGGCCGAGCACCACTGATGGTGGTCGCTTGCCTGGCCGCAGTGGGTTTCCTTCCCTTCTCACTTCTGGCTAAGGGGCTCATGGTCTCTCTTGCCTCCTTCCACCCTCTCTTTGACTTCTTGTCTTCCCGTAGGCTGTTCCTGCCTATCTGAGACACCCTTCCCCATCCTTTCCCCACAGCTCTGTCCCCTCCCTCTTTTCCCACCCTGCTTCCTATTCTCATTTTCCAGAGATCTTTTCCTTTTTTTTTTTTTTTTGGTAAGGAAGACTGGCCCTGAGCTAACATCTATTGCCAATCTTCCTCTTTTTACTGAGTAAGATTGTCTCTGAGCTAACATCCGTGCCCATCTTCCTCCATTTTGTATGTGGGATGCCACCACAGCATGGCTTGATGAGTGGTGCATCAGTCTCCTCCCGGGATTCAAACCTGCAAACCCTGGGCCGCCAAAGCGGAGCACGTGAACCTAACCACTATGCCACCAACCTGGCCCCTCCTTTCCTATTTAACTGCAACCAGTTAACTGCCCTCTCTTTCCCCTCCTATATCCTCAGTCCTGGAATCCACAGTTCTGTCCAACTGGAAAGCTAATCTGTGTCTCTCTGCCTCTCTGCCCATATCTCTGTCTGATAAATGAGCTTATTTATTTCCTTCCAACTCATGAGCCTGGGCAGGTGGCTTTGCATGTGAACCTTACCAGGGCTATAAACTGTGTCCCCTCCCCCTAACTCTCCTGCCAGACCTGGAATATGACCCTGGATCTCTGGCTGAAGCTCACATTTCCTTCTTGTGCTTTCCTTCTCTTGGCAGAGTTCTTTATTGATGGGCTCGGGAGCCTGCTCGTGGGGTCATGTCCAGAGGTAATTATAGGTCACCAGTCCCATGTTCCAGTGGTGGACCCAGAGCTGGCCTCCCTGGAGAAGACCTACAGCACGTTCCGGGCCAACACTAATGCTGAGGTCCAGTTCAAGCTGGCTCTCCACTACTTCAAGAACCATCTCCAATGCTCCACATAAAGGTGCCCAGGCATGGGAAAAGCACGAGGCTGACTGGTTGTGGGTATCTAGAACAGTGGAACTGGTTGTTGGGCTATCAAAAAATGGACTCCTGATAAGATGAACTGCAATGAAACGTCTAGTGGGTAGGGCAAATGGGTCAAGTTATAGGAAGTACCAATCAAAGGTTAAGGGTCATTAAAAATGAACCAATCACTGATCGGGGCAATGGAGACTGTATTAATAACAATCATTGTTTATTTGTGTGATGCCTTACCATTTATGAAGCATTTGCAAGTACAGTGTCTCCCGTCATCTCATTTGATCTCACACAAGAGTATATGATAGGTTGGTGTCCTCAGTCAAAGGAATGGCTGCCGAGTCCTTGAGGGTTATTTGGTGCGAATGATGTCACAGTCAGAAGCATCGTCTCCAGCATCACTGTCATCCACAAATTTTTACTTGGTCTTACCTTGTGGACTCACATAATGTGAGTACCCCACGGTCCTTGCCTTAAGGAGGTTGCAGCCTGGTTCAGTTCAGAATTGGGCAGCCAGAGTCAGAGGATCAGAGGAGGGAGAAGGCAGCTGAGGAAGGCTCTGTGGAATAATCTCATCTAGAGCCTGGAAGATGGAGGAGATTCAGGCAATCGGAGAGAGGGAGGGAGGAGAGCACTGAGGTAGTCCACTGTCTGCCAGAACAAAGGTTCTTCTGTCATCAGACTCACTACCACAAAGACACGTCCAGAATATCAAGGATTGAACGTGAAGACACTGTGCTAAGATGCCGTGATAAACAGTGTAAGTGCGGTGGCAAGCTACTGAATTCCAGGGACTTGAGCCCAGTTGCTGACCACTCAAGACCCATGTCATCTATAGAGTGGAGCCACCACACATTGTTGAGGAAGGCTTTCTCTGTTATCTTGGGAGGCAGTAGATTCTACAACTACTGCGCTAGCCTTTGTGGTTTCCACTCTTTACTGAAGATGGCCTAGGGTAGTTCAGGATCTCTGAAAATGTGTCTGTGAGATATTAGTAAAACTTTATGAAAAACATTTTAGTCATCAAGTAATTTTGAAAAATACTACATGCTATATCTCCCTCTTGGAAAATTGCAATTCACATTAACATATTAAAGGCTCTAAGAAGTCCTGCAGTAAAGAAATAAAGAAATAGGGCCGGCCCCATGGCTTAGCGGTTAAGTGCTCGCGCTCCGCTGCTGGTGGCATGGGTTCGGATCCCGGGTGCGCACCAACGCACTGCTTCTCCGGCCATGCTGAGGCCGTGTCCCACATACAGCAACTAGAAGGATGTGCAGCTATGACATACAACTATCTACTGGGGCTTTGGGGGAAAAAATAAATAAATAAAATTATTTTAAAAAAAAAGAAAGAAAGAAATTAGTTTAACTTTGTTTAACTCAGCATTTCTCAGATGTGGATATAGACTGACAATCATTTTCTATTCTGCCAAACCGTAATTGAACACATACCTCATTCCATTGTGTATGTCATAAAGATTCTATTGCAAAAGCTTTTACAGCTTTAACTAATATGCACAATCGTTTCATGCAATAGTACATGCATTTTACATACTATAACATAGCTATATAGGAAGACTATGTTGGATTGTTCCATTCAGCACTTCCCTAGGACCCAGGCAAGCAGAGCCCCCACCTGGATCCTGGGCTTCAGAGAACCCTGAACATCACAAACGTGTGTTTACGGTGAACATCTGAGCATCTCTGCCACTCAGGATCCAGTGCTCAGAGCTAGTACAGTGTAACCTGTTACCCTAAATACCCATTCTTGGGACTAACACTGTTAAGGCCCCAGGAAGGTACTTCTCCACACCTCTTGCCTTATGTCCTCAAAACAAAAGACAGCTACATCCAAATGCACTGAAAGTTTGTGGACAATACTTTGGAGTGCAGGTAAGATTTGAGCTAGAGTGCTTAGGTAAAAGAAAAAGACCAAATTTTTGATTTACTAAATTCTTCCTCTCAGATCACATAAATAGCCATAGAGTCTTGCCTGTTACCTAGTGTCTATTTTCTTGCCTTTCGATTCACAGTTCCAGAAGTACTAAAAATTTAGTATGGTATTCACAGCAATTGCACATGGCAGCTTAAGAACACTTAAAAATAGTAAAAAATTTGTATTACTCTGTAATTTTTTCATACGTAGATCTAGCTGTATCATGCTCGAAATGTGACACCAATTCTTTACATTGGCAATTAGGTGGTTATTGAAAGCTAAAATTGTAATAATTTTATTTTTATAAAAATATTTGATGACTTAAATTTTCAAAAATTAAATTTAAAATAAGTAACCACATTTGATTTTTTTTGTGAGGAGGACTAGCCCTGAGCTAACATCCGATGCCAATCCTCCCCTTTTTTTTTGAGGAAGATTGGCCCTGGGCTAACATCTGTGCCCATCTTCCTCTACTTTATATGGGACGCTGCCACAGCACGGCTTAACAAGCGGTGCGATGGTGTGCGCCCGGGATCTGAACCCGCGAACCCTGGGCCGCGGAAGTGGAGCGCATGCACTTAACCACTATGCCACTGGGCTGCCCCCACATTTGATTTTTAAATATGATATTTGTTCATTATAATTTTCATTTTGTCTTTTAATCTTAGTAGATAATTTTGGATATTTTAAAAGAAAAATAACTTCTAAAAACAAGAAAAATAATTTTAATTTTTACAAATTTTTAGCAAATCTTACATTTGTTTCAATTTTACCCTCGAGGTAAATTTTGTACACTGTGAACAACAATCATACTTTTTTGTGTGTGTGAGGAAGATCAGCCCTGAGCTAACATCCGTTGCCAATCCTCCTCTTTTTCCTGAGGAAGATTGGCCCTGAGCTAACATCTGTGCCCATCTTCCTCTACTTTATATGGGACGCCGCCACAGTATGGCTTGACAAGCGGTGCGTCGGTGCACGCCGGGGATCCAAACCTGCGAACGCTCGGGCTGCCGAAGCGGAGCGCGCAGGCACTTAACCACTACGCCACAGAGCTGGCCCAGTACTTAATTTTTTAATTCTTTAGATTATGACTACTCAGTGTGCTGGTCCACAAAGAGATAAGGAGCATGCATCAGACTGTAATCAACATACTGCTTCCTTCATTGAGAAAGTCTTGCCATGAGAAAATGTCACCTCAACTAAACAGCGTGCTAAGGGATGGAGATGATTTTGATTCTGGCACCAGCTCCTTATCTCACTGCAGACTGGAAACAAAGAGCTCACGGACCAGATCTCAGAGGATGCTTTGAGTAGCATTACTTTAGAGGTCAGCAAACGTTTTTGTAAAGGACCAGATGGTAAATATTTTAGGCTATCCGGGCCACTTAAAGTCTCTGTCACATATTGTTTTTTTTTTTAATAACCCTTCAAAAATGTAAAACCATTCTGAGCTTGTGGGGCCATTCAAAACCAAGCCACAGGCTGCCTTTGGTCTACTGGCTGTAGTTTATTGACAGATCAGTAAAGTCATTGGCTATAAATTATGTGAAAAATATCAGTTATAAAAACATAATTCATGATTTTGCTGAAACAAAAAGCAAATTATTGTATGGAATAAATATATGACAAATTATGAATGTATATGTATTTCTTTGTTCTTATCCAAATGTCAACTAAACCACCAGACATGCACGATAATTATTAAACTCCATTGCTTTGGTATGTTGCCTACTTTTAGTCTTACTAAAACCACAGCTTTATAATATTTTCGATTTTGCCTTGTCGAGGTAAGAGGATAGAGCATTTATTTTGACAGTTTGCTAGCTTCAGTTATTATAACTTTTAAACGTTTAAAAATAATTAAAACAGAAATTAAATATTTAGACAAATATTTAATTTGTACATTTGTCCCTGGCCTGGTTCCACAAAATTTCTGCCATCCTGATTAATTACTTGCATTCTTGATTTAGGAGGATAGAGCTGTGCACTTTCCTGGCAATTATAGCTTTTGCCAATATCCTCCAGCAGGGACCATTTTGACATGCTGTAGTTATCAGTATATTCCAGGCACATCCTCTTCCCTGTCCCAGGATCTGGAGCCTTCTACTCCAATAGGAAGGAGTAGTTAAAATGGAGCTCTTGTAGGGTGTTTGCCTAAACTGTGAGCCAATTCTCCAGGAATTCTTCTCCAGAAACTGATCAACTACCCAGAGAGTGTGTGCCCCAATCCCTGGTCAAAATGTATTAGACCAAGAGAGGCAGGCTCCTGAACCAATGACCAATCAGATTGTCTCTGTTGGGATTTGAATTGGGCCTGAAAAACATCAAGGCAGGCTCTGTGGGTGGCTGCCCTTCAGACACCACACAGGAGCAGAACTGCCCCTTTATGCCGTGTGGACTGAGGAGCAGAGAAGGCCGGTCTGCAGCTAGAAAAGAATTCAACATATGCACCAAGAGGAGCTGCAACGAGAGACTCCTGACAGCCTTCTGGTTCTTTCCTGAGGTCTGGCTACAGTCTGGCCCAGGGGTTTTGTGAAACAGTATATCCTTATATTTTTCCCTTTTTACTTAAGCTAATTTGAGTGGGTTCCTGTGACTTATAACCAAAGTGTCCTAAATAATACAACCACTCTGTGTGTCTGGCTGTTTTCAAAACAGAAAGGCATAAATAAAAGGTTTTCTCCTTGGGTAGTTTGCAAGCAAAACTCAGGTCACAGACAATAACAGCCACATAGGCCTCTCTCCACCCTTGAATTTCAGACACAACCAAGCAGCTTGGACCAAACCAATTGACAAAGGTATCCTTCCAGGACAGTGAAGATCCCCTGATACTTCCTGCTGAACTCCCAAGTCCAGGACAGGTTGGTGCAAATAATTGTGTGGGCCTCCAGGGGGAGCTCAAGCCTCCTCCCTCTGTTTCCCCTCTGCTTGTTCCTCACCCCCCTGCTCAGAAAGGAAAACTGCTGCCATGACTTTCAGAAAAGAGGATTTTTTTTTTTTTTTTTTTTTT